CTTGTTGTTGTTCTTGTTGTTGTTCTTGTTGTTGTTGTTGCTGCTGCTGCTGCTGCTGCTGCTGCTGCTGCTGGTCTAGTTCGTTTTGTTGTTCGATGGGCTTGCAGCAGCTTCTCACGGACTCCGAGGCGCACAGCAGCCCCACAGAATGCGGCTCTCCCTGTAGGGCTCCGAGATGACGCCGGCAATAGGCCGGCCCAGGCGGCTGATGCCGATCAGCCTGGTTTCACACGGCGCGCCGAGCAAAGGCCAGCTTCGGCGTGATCTTTCTTCCGAGTTTCTCAGGCTCGATCTGACTTGCGAGTGAGAGACAGGGAGACGAAAGAGGTTAGTTATTTGGCTGAAAACGAAGCTTGTGTGGAAGAAAGCACACTCTTCGGGAGAGTGATGTTGAGCAGGACACCAGGCGGCAAGGGCCTGTCAGCAACGAACCGCGACCAAGGCACCTTCTGCCATGGATGCTTCCCAACGTCAGGGGGGCCTTTTTCATGGCGTCTGAGGGAAAACCCAAGGTGCACCCTCCATTTTGCTGGGGGAGTGCCCAATTCCCGGAGCCCATGTTGCGTGGCAAAGGGCGTGGAGACGAACTCGTAGCGGCCCTCGGTGAATTCCTTGGTGCCATCCAGGGGGTCCACCCAAACGCAGAGATCCGACAGCGGCAGCAGAAGATCCGCGCTGCTGGGCCACTCATCGTCCAGCAAGTGAGCGTCAGGACGGTGCATCCCGATGTCCTGTGAGGAGTTTGTCAGTTTTGGCTGGGAAAAGGAGCCATGAAGAGGTTGAAGGTCAACACCAGTTTGGAGGTCTGTCCATTTGACGGGAAGCCAGCATGCTGTCAACCCTGGGAGGGTCCCAGGCTCATGTTGACACAGTCCAAATGCTGATTCCAAAGGGGTTGCACTGATCAAAGGGGCACCCTTGCCAGGTGGGAACGATTCCTCTCTCGAGGAGACTTGGAAACAAGGCGAGTTGCCTCGCTCTGCCCGAAGAAAATGCTTCAGCGGCGTGAAACAATCTCTTCTTCCTCATGTTCAAGGTCCCACCAAACAAGTGACTTTCGTCGAACTCCCAAGAATCGCTACAACTTCGGCTGAATTCTGGCAGTCCCAAGAATTTGGAACGTTCTATGTTGGCGTCTCTAAAACCACAACTGCTCGGTCGCTCGAAGTGGACAGTCACTCAACTGTAAAATACTGTCTCGAAAGGTATGCGTCAACATCACGGGACCGCAACATGTTGGCGTTCCTTTTTTGTTCCTCTGTTAGCCTTCCCCAAAACCGGAACCAAGAAGCGTCCGCTCTCTCGCTCCCTCTCCCACCTCCACATCGCCCTCCTCGGTGCCTAGCTCGCCCTCTTCCCCCACCACCCGCAAGGCCATGCCGTACCTGAGGGTCAACCCGAAGCTCAACTCGGGAGTTTGGCCTCGCCAATTTGGGGCTCCCCCAGTTTGGGGCACATAGCTCGGTCTGCGAAGCAGGGCCGGAGGAACGGAAGTGTGTGTGTGTGTGTGTCTCAAAACTCGTGGGACACCTTCGGGCAATTGGAGAGGGCCGTGGTGTTACTTTGAATGCGTCCCCAAAAGGTCCACCTGTTGCGAGACGCGCCACCTGTTGCGAGAAACAAAGTCGGCCAGGTCGAGATGCAGGAAATAGAAACCCAAACGAGTGCCAACGAGGTTCGAAATCAGGGAGAAAGAAAATAAGTCTTCTTTTCGGGCCTGGCAAAAGAACTCTTTTGGTTGATCTGACTGATAAGGTGAAAGTTCGAGTTGCCAGGTTGGTTGGTTGTTTCCCTTTAACCGAGCACTTCTACGGGCTGTACTAGCAAAATACTCGGACCAGACAAGACAGGGGAGGGTAACGTTGATGGAAACATCGGAAACTGAGCACGTGCCCAAGGAAGGAATTCTACGCTCGATGTGTGTCCCCAACTGATGAAATACCAGCGCCGGAGGGGAAACCAAGAGCTACAAAAACATGAAGCAAACTTGAGTCAAACACACCGGCACACCCCAAAAAAGGCATGATCTTAAAGGGCTTTTGTTTTGGCCCTCCTCCAGAAAATGAACAAAGAAAAGCAGCATCCTCTTAGAAACGCTGGTAGACTTGCTAGAATGGCCTCCAACCAAGCAACAAAGAAACCAGGAAACACGCAACACCGCCAAAACTAACACTTCAACCAACACTTCAACCACAACACCAAGAAGCACAATCCACAAATTTGAAAAGAAAAAAAAGAAAACGAAGGAGCAAACAGCACAATCCCCCGAACCCCTCCCCCACGGCTCAGCTCCTCAGCTGCCTCGCCGAGCGGCACCTGCCGCAGGTTCTCCACGATGCAGCGCTGGGCCTGGCGGTCCGCCAGCGTCTGCGGGTCGAAGGCGCCGGTGCCCGCGCCTCGTCAACCGGGGGGGGGGGGGGGGGGGGGGTCCCCAGAAAAGGTTCGTTGAGAACGGTCTCCAACCCCAAAACCTGAAATCCCCACAAAAGTGTGGGGTCTCAAAAAACGGGATTGCAAGGAAGAGATCAGAAGGGGGGGGGTTGTCATGTTTCACACACGCACACAAATCACGAGGCAAACTCCGTGTTGGCTGGCTTTAGAACAACGGGAAAAGGCAAGGGAACCAACCACGTGCAGGCTTCCCTTATTTTGGGGAAGTCACAATCCCACCAACCCGAAACAAGAAATGGACCCCGAAGAGAAGAACAGCCAACCAAGCGACCAGCCTTTGTCCAGAAGCCCCAGAGACTGCTCCGCGCCCGCGGTTCCCGCTTGCACCTCGCTGAAAAAAGGTGCTGGGTGCCCTTTCTTTGGGTGGACCCAGAACCCCAAACAAGCATTGGGGGACTTTGCTAATTCAGCCACCTCAAAACAAAAAAGTTGCCCCAAGAAGAAAGCTTCACGGGTGAAATCAGCCGCAAAGCCAAACCTGCGTGTGGTCGGAAACGTCAAGGGTTACAGAGAGAGAGAGAGGGAAAACAAAACAAAAAAACACAACACAAAACTCGACCCACCCCGAGCCATGCCGTGCCCGGTCCTTGTTCGACACTGCGCGGATCTGGTCCCCTGCGCGCTGCGCCAGATCCACGCACTCCGAGACCAGCGTCCGGATCGACACCTCGCCGGCGCCGAGCCCGGCGCCGCAGCTGGCGCCGGCCATGCGTCGCCGCGTCCGGGTAGATCTCTGGGCCAAGAGGCCTCCTGCAGTGTGGACATTTTTTTGGGGGTCGGCATCTATTTGTCATTTGGGTCTAAAACCATCCATCCTGAGACACACCCAATAGATTCAATAGATGCTCGTTGCGCAAGCCGAAGGCCGAAAACTTGTCTTCACGCAGTGGAGCAACCTCATTTTGCAGGTCCAACTCCGGTTTCAGACCAATGGCCCATCCATCCGCTGTGACCGAAACGCCCCAAACCCAGCCCCAAGGCTTGAAATTCCTAGGGGCCGAGTGATCAAGGTTCAGAAGTCCAGCAAAAAACAGGTTTATGAGGTGCCAGCCAAGTTCCCGCATGTTTGCGGGAAATATAGGTCCAAGGGTGGAAGTACATACCCCTTTTGAATGCCCCTTGGCTTCCCTGGTTTCCATCCCACTTCATTAATACAGGGTATATACCCCTTTTGGAGAGAGGTCGGGATGAACATCAGCCGGCCTTTTGGGTTCATTTGCCCAAGGGGTACGTAGTATGTCCAAGCACCGCTGAAGTAGGGCCAGATTCTGACACACCCCCAGATAAGTCATCACAATCAGTGGTTGTCCACGTGTTGCAACCAACGGATGGGACCCTTTCGTACGACAGCCTCAAACCCACCCCCCATGCTACAAGGGAGCTACCCAGTCATTCCAAACAATCCATAACCGTAGGCCCGTCAGGAAGCCAAAGCAAATCATCAACAGTACAACCCTTTGGAGGTGAAACCAAAACAAATGGTGACCCAATAGCAACTTGCGGATATCAGAAGTAGAACCCTGAGGCAAAACCAAAAAAGAACTGTTCGAATTGCACCGTTCCCCGGGTTCTCAGTTCTCGGGCTTGCTGTCGGGCGGCCACCGGCCACCACAGCCGCCGGCGCCGGATTCGGGGAGCGATTCGCCCGGCACCGCAGCGCCAAAGAGGACCCGCGAGAGGGCGCGGAAGTCACCGACACGCGCGCATGAGCGAGCAGGGGCTCCAGCATGAGGGCGGGGTGATATTGCCATGGGGTCTATGGTCCCTCATGTGAAATACTGATTCTTCTAGAATCTCGCGCAAACCCAACAAACCACGACTCTGGTTCGCTTGTAGATTGAGTTGGGTTGATGCCATGAGTTCCCGTGAACCAATCGAGTGCTCCATCCAACTGCGCTTCAGTCTGCTGAACTCCAATTGCGGATATTGGGGTTGTCTTTGCAAGTTTGGCATACAACTTGAAATGGTCTGCTCATACAGTGCCTGCTCATACCGTGCAAAAAGAAACATAAAGAGAGATTGGCCCTATCTTTGTGCTCTTGCACTTTGCGTCTGTGTGTGTGTGTGTGTGTGCGTGTGTGAATGCATGTTTGGTGAAGCATGCCTGTCTGTTCGGACTAGGCAGGCTCACTTGAGCCTGCTGGGTTCGACAGACTAGACCTGGGCGTTTCTTCCAACCAGCTGTCGGGAAAGAAACAGCACTGCTTCCCGTCGGAATGGGGGGGGTTCGCCACGCACCAACGTAGCATGGTCAGATAAGGTTAACATTCATATCACAACTGCTAGCCAAAAACTAGCAAGCTAAGCTGCCAAAGTCAAACAGCACCCACCATGCAGTAGCCCGGTGATGTCACTCCACTTTACCAACGCCGCAAGTATCGGATCGGGGGACAATCTCCCTGAAAACCACTCCTTTTGTGCTTTGGCATCTTCTGCAGGAACGCCTTTACCAGACCTAGCGCATCTTCCCCATTCTGAAACCAGGGATCCTTTCGAACGGACTATGGCTTAAAACCCTCCTGGGAAACCTCGCGGATTCGAATCCGGTCCTTGTTTTCCACTGGCACCACCGACTCAGCCTACGGCGAAGGCTTCGACAGAAGAGCTCCATTGACATGGTTGAGCAAACCTCAAATCCAAGGGGTTCCCCTTTTTAGGAAAATCAACCACAGGTTTGGTCCCGTTGCGAAAGAGATGTCAAATCAAACAGGCAGGATTGGAACAAGCAAGGAGAGCCAATCCCCCGAATCGGACTTTCCACCGCGCCCGGTGTTGGTCCCTTACTTGAAAAGACCGCATTTACTGTGGGCATCAACAATTTTCAGCATCCACGTGAAACCTTCATTTCGGGTATTTGGAGAGGAGCGTGGCTTCAAGACTCTCACATAGGCGCAAAGGCAGTCGCTCGCCTTGAACGCGGGCTGCGGCTTCGTGTCAAAGTCGCATGTCTTGCAGAGCCAGAATCCTGCACGCGGCCCACCCATTCCGCGAATATCAGGACTTCTCTCGCAGATCAGCAACTTTCACATCTTGCTAAAGCCCGGGCTTAGGAAGGCCCTGCTGGATTGTTGGGGGGGGGTCACATTTCAGAGGGCTGGGAGCCTAGCCTCCTTTTTTCCAAATCCATGCCGAACGCTGGCCTATGCACAGAAGTGCCGCGCCAATGATGACGAGCCAACCTGCCGACACGTTGCACCTTTCGCCATTCTCTGAAGCGCATGTGGGTATGTGTCGGGGGGAGGGGGGAGGGCGAATTTTTGTATTTTCCTTCTGGCTTTCCTCACGTGAAAAGGGTATCCTTAAAAGCACACATGCATGTAGAAACCTAACAAATTGTAGACTGTTCCAAGTGATAGGAAGCACCAGAGTCATCACTGAAATTTGCAAACGTGTTTTCTGCGGGGACGTTGGCCATCAGACTGGCTTCTGCGCACTTGGGACTGCCTGGAACAATTCAAACGGGACTCATGGCACTGTGCGGGGTTCCATCCTTGGATAAGGAGAGTAGCGCCTGTAGCAAGACATTGAGTTCATCTTTGTGCCACCCCAAAATCTGAGGGAAGCGCAGAGTCTGAACTGCCAAAAGGCGCTCGAGGCCGCCCAAGGCCGGTGCCCCACCATTTCAGGTCCGTGGACTCTGGCGAGGTAGTGGGCCTTTGTCTGCCAAAAAAGAGGCTTGGAACCATAGAAAATGGTAAGCTTCCCGTTTGAAACCCCGAAGAGTGGTAAAATCTCAAAAAGAAAAAGCATGGGGGAGAGCCAAAAGGGAGAACCGCAAAACGGGTGGTTTCTCTCAGGTTTCCCCTTAGAATCCGCCCCAAGTGGAAATAGCCAGTCTTTGTATTTGCTGGCTTGAAACATGACGTGTTGTAGAATAGGTGCAAAGATTGTATGATGAAGCAGAAATAGAACAAGTGGCGAACCACGATTGACCCGAAACGTTGGGGCAATCCACGGAAATTGTTCAGACATCAACAGTGACTTATGACAGGTCGAACCAATCCCCAGCGAAAAGCCCTACACAAGACTTTGCAAAACTGTCGGTTCAAGTAGCTGGGCCTCTCCAAAAGGATGTCAACTCATGTGTGTGTGTGTGTGCACTTTTCAAGTTCTATAACCCCAGAAAGAGTCCCAGCTCTTCTTGACACGTACTTCCTTTGCAAGCAACCTCAGCGCGCGTCCGCAGGTCTGGTCTGCTGCGGAGCAGAGCATACTTCTCCAAGTCGGGGACGAACGACCAAAGTTGGAAATTCAGCAGCACTCCGTCTGCAACACATATCACAAAGAATGCAGCATGTGACAAGCTATGTCAATGGCTAGTAGAGACCCATGATTGCCTCACCAGGACGGAACGGGTGCCTATGGCCAAGGTTGTTGGGCCCTGCTGTGTGAGCGTGTAGGTGTGGTGTGTAGGTGTGTGGTTTCCCTAGTCTGCTGCACTAAGGGAAACCAATCATGCAACGCCAACTCCCAAGTGCCTAGCGGCCTAGCGAGCTCTGGGGCCGCTGGCTCGGTCACTTCGATCACTGCTAAGGCAGTGGTGGTGGCGGAGCTTTCGCTCTGCAGCCACCTGCCCCGGAGCTCACGCGGCTCGCTCGCGCTCGTCGCCCTCGCCGCGCTCCACCTGGCACGGGCAGACCCGGAATGCGAGGTCTTGCCCCCATTGTCTGGGTAAAATCCTGGGCACCTCCAAAACCGCCTGGCTTCTGAGGTCCACAAGGAAAACTACAGTCGCCACTCTGAAACACCCACGTGGGTGTCGTGTCAGTCCCAGAGTACTCAGAAATGTCACCCCTCCGGAAATATCTCGCTTGTAGAGAAACGCGGGGGTGTCTTCCTTTGAGGGCACCCTTTTTGGGGTGGCTCAGAGAAAGGGGGGAAATCGCCACTCTGAGGTTCCACACTCTGATGCATGCCATGTTTTTTGCCGCGCCTGCCCTTCTCCACACTGTCCTGCGGCTTCGGAGCTCTAATGGGGTCCGGGCTCGACCCGTTTCCACGGGTTTCGGGCTTGTCGACACAGGGGCAATTATACAAGTTCACCGTCACCCTGTTTCGGGGTTGGATAGTTTCTATTTCAGCCGACCCCTGGCTCACTCCAAACTGAAACAGGTTGTTCAAACCAAATCAAAAGGTGGCTTAAAAAGATCTACACAAGGCGTTGAATCGAACCCGGTGCTCAACGTTGGATTCCCACACGCCAGCTCAAACCATTTAGGGTTTAATTTTGAGGATGTCACTTTGAATGAACTCAGTAGAAGATATTCGCCCTCCATTTGTCGACTTTCGAAAAGGAGCGGAACGCGCTTGTAGATTACAACTTTTCAAGCTGAAGTCCAGTGATCCCTGTAGATATGGACAAATCCTGGCGATGGGCCGGGGTACAACAATGGACGGCACGAGGCCTGATGGTGTTCAAAACCTATGTGTCTCATATGCGAGGTTGAATAGTTACACACCTTACTCCCCTATGATCATAACGCAATTGGGCTTCAAAGTGCCTACACCCGCATTCTATTTACTTGATCCCAAGTATTACTGCCATTTTGGGACGGGCAACATGACGCGTTTCGGCTGAGTGTGCAGCAAAAGTCATTTTTGCGAGAGCCCCTCGAAATGCAATCATTCTAAGGCCCCCGTCTGGTCTAAAATGGTTGAACCCCGAAAAATCAGACAGGCAGTTTTGCTTCCCCTTCAAGAGGTAAAGCCACGGATTTCCGCAGAGGTTCCCCAAAGAGTATCTTTGCCAGAAGCCCTCAAACCCAGCGAAGCGAAAGCCGCGCCTGGACATCTTGCGAGGCTCCTGGCGAGTCCGAAGGGCTCACAGAGTAGGCCTTGTATCTGCGGCCCGAAACGACAAGCTACGCGTTTTGTTTTGTTGGCCAACCTACTCTTGTTCCGTCAATGTCTCTTAGAAAACTGCTGGGACACCATGTACGAATAGTTGCTTCAGACTTCAGGCAGATAGTTGTAAACCTCATGCCTTTTGGACGTCAGTGTGCAACCTATGCTCCGCCACTCTGCCACGGTTTTCCTTTGGGTGGGCCTGGCCGGACAAAAAGGCGCATTGGGTGCTTCTCAAGATGAGCGTCCCCTTTTGGGATGGGGAAGCTCAAGGAAAACCAACCACCTCAAGAGTCCCTAAGTTTGAGAAACACCCAAGGGGTTCAACTGGCGCCGGCTGCCTCCGACTACCCGGGCTTGCTTTTGGCGTTTCGGCTTGAACGGCAAACCACTTTGGGAGCGATTTTTGAATCCGGCACCCTGTGGACAAACAACAAATATAGGGATGTCCATTCCCAACCATGATTGAATTGATGTTCCTGCCATTCAAAGACACATACAAATGCATGTCTACAACCATGTCTGAGCTGGTGCTCCAGCCCAATTTAATGCGATTTCCTGTGAGCCGTCAGCCTCAAGTGGCGCTAACCATGGTTTTAACAGAAAAACCGAAGGACACATACGTCCCCTGTGCACCCTGCCTGGCCAGCACCTCGGAGGCACGCCCGGCCCCATACATGGAGGAAGCCAAAATCATTGATGCTGCAATGGTTGAGCTCTGTTGGCGGGTTGTGTTGATGTTATGTGCTTGACTCGGGCTGATTCGTGAAACCCACAAAGTACCCAAAATCAACCTCTGGAAAGCCACAGACAAAGTCCTTGCAAAGCCAGATCTGGGAGGCCCCGCGCTGTCGGAAGCACAAGCAGACCAAAGACCTGACACACACACACACACACACACACACACACACACACACACACACACACACCGCCCGTGCGATGCGGAGGTCTCTCCGCTTCCATGTGGGCCGCGGTCAAACTTCGTAAATGTAAGTCGTGGTGAGTCCTGGACTAGAAAACCTACCGTTTGTGGCCATCCCCACTCAAGGGGGGTGTCTGACCATTTTCGCCATGGCGCATGTGGGTGGGTCTCCAAATATAAAGCCCCGAAGTGGGTTGCTTCCATTTCGGTGTCTGTGTAAGTCAGCCCAACCCTAAAGAAGGCACCAATCCAAAGGAACCCCTCAAAGCTTGGTCGAAGCTCAAGTCAACCATCATCCTTTAAAGAAAAGCAAAGATATGAAATGTTACTAGACATTGACTCGGAAGCAAAACTTCTACCCAGAATATTCGCACGGCAGCCAAAGAGGTTGTTACAAATGTGTGGGATGGGACGACTCAGGAAGACCCTGGTAACAAGTACATGTTTGGCTTCGAAGGGCCTTCCAAGATCATCTTGAAAACAGCTATGCTCTGACTCTCGAAGAGATGCTCCGGAAAATATTGCTTTTCAGGCTTTCAAAGCTCAATGCCTGCAATTAATGGATCTCCCACAAACCACACTGACACACACTTTCGCGCACTGAAACTCTTTATTGCATACTAGTACACTGACACACTGAGATAGCCCAATTGACATGTGTCGATACGCGCCCTGGCCGCCGCACGGCGATGAGGAGCAGCCATTCAGCTCGATTTCGATCTGCAAATGCAGATCGAAGGCGGAGAACAGGACGGAAGCAGCATGTGAAGGCTCGTCTGCAAACGGCAGCTTTTTGGGGACTTTTCTATGCTCTGCCGCCTTTGACGGGGGCGCCGCCATATTTGAGACCACCATGTTGATGCACAGGGAAGAGAAGCGGTCGTCGCGGATTAATGGAAGTAAACCAGTTTGTAGTCACGGTTGAGCCTTGGGTTGCATGCCCACTCCGACCTCCGGTCTTTCTTCTGGGATCGTTGTTTGCAAAAATGGCCCACATGGCCTGTCTGTCTTTTTTGAAACCACCAGTTTTGGAGATGCTTCAGCAAAACCAACAGGAAGAATAATGGCCTGGTCTCCTAGTTTTTGGTGCGCCCACGCACATTGTTTCTGGAAAGAGTCACTCCGACTGGCATTCTTGGAGCGCTCAGGGATGTGCAACGAACTATGATGCGTAGGGATTATGCAAGGCTGGGGAGAGCCTGGGAGACTCTCATTGAATGCAATGGAGACTTTGAACCCTCTCAGCATGCATGAATGTAAAAGTATAGACCATCTTTCTTAAGACCTTTTTCTGGTCACTTGATACGTGGGGTTCCACAAGGGGGGGTCCCTATCTTGACCAAATCTTGACCTCCTCCCCTTCCGGCTTTCACCGTTCGCGCCTGTGCACGCTCCCATCTTCCCGGGCATCCGCCATCCCTGACTGCTTTCCGCCTTGTCTAGTTCATTCTTGCATAGGTGTAAGGAGCTCGCTTCTGATTGGTAAAGGGAAAGGAGCAGGTGCTAACCTTTTGAGGGGGCCCTCAATGGAAAGCCTTCCTGAGCCTCGTGTGTCCGCTCCCTGGCTTTGCTCCACTCCTCATGTCCTAAAGTTACTGCGGGCCGACAGGCCGACAGGCCGAAAGGCCGAAAGGCCGGGCGCATGAAGACTCATGGTGCACGTGTCTCTGATTGTCTTATCTCACCAACTTGAGATAAACTCCAGGTTGATTGATAAGGGGGTGTCCTACTGAACAGGAAATGCGTCTTCTTTGTGGAAGCACCTCCCAAACTAAACCACCAGGCTGGTTAAGCTAGCTTGCCCAGACACACTCTGACACAGCTCGCTCTTCGGAATCGCCCTCAGGCTGAACTTTGGCACCCAAGAATCCAGACATTACATGGGCATTTGGCATGCGGCCCTGGCCTTGTGGACTTGTGGACCTTGTGCCCCAAGAATAAGACGCACAGACCAATGATATACTTGGTATAAAGACAACAGCTGAAGGGGAAATAGTGAACCATACCAGTTGCTCGTGCAAGCTTCTCTCATTAGAGGCGTTGCTGCCATTCTGTCGCTAGACCTCGTAATATTCGGGCATGTTCCTCTGATCTCTCTAAGGCTGTGCCGTTGAGCCAAGTAATGTAAGGGGCCATTGGACGCATTGTTATAAGTGTGTCATCACTAAATATATATATATATATACATTTGTGTATGTATTGTATATAATATAGCTTTCAGGGACCCCACAACCCCATTCTAATTACTTTGGCCCCATTATTTCACATGAATCCCATGCAACTATCACCCAACCTCCGGCAAATGCACCCAGCAAATGCCAAGGGCCACCACCGCTGCCGGTGCCCACCCGCCAAACCAACCAAACACTCAACCGACCGACCGACCGACCGACTGACCGACCGACCGACCGACTGACCGACCGACCGACCGACCGACCGACCGACCGACCGACTGACCGACCGACCGACCGACCGACCGACTGACCCACCCAGCCAGCCAGCCAGCCAGCCAGCCAGCCAGCCAGCCAGCCAGCCAGCCAGCCAGCCAGCAAGCAAGCAAGCAAGCAAGCAAGCAAGCAACGACTCAAACACCTGCCAGAAATAAGTTTGGAGCCCCTTTCAAAAAGGGAGACGCGAAACCGCAATTAGAAAAGTTCGGATTCCTTCAGCTCCCTCTTTCTGGCATCCCAAAAAGCACTCCGCTCGGTAGCTCGGCAGCATGCTTCATTTTGGGCAAATCGATGGCTGGGATGAAAATCACGCGGCGCATACGCAGCTAGGTTCAAGCTTTGTTGAGATGTGGGCTTGGATCAGAACGAGCTGGATGGCAACTCCTGTCTGTGCCCTCTTAGAATGGTTGCTCAAAAGGGCCTAGCGGCTGCTCTCCTTTCGAGCCATCCGCAAAAAAGGGCCCCTCGTTTCATTTCAGAAAGCATCCAATTGGTTCTGACACCTGCCCAGGTGCTATATTCCGGCGGTCTTTGAAACTTTGCTCTCATCCCGGACCCCAGCGCATCCCAGAGGGCACCCCTCTGCGGGTCCGAAGTGCTTAGGTGACATGTGAAAAAGAGCTCCCCTCCTGGAGTTGGGGCTCTACCGCCTAACCAAGCCCCCTCTTCGCACAGAAGGTCCTGACACATTCTGGGCCCTAGCCCCAAACGCGCAGATCTGCACGACTTTGGGCGGGGAGCGAAGCCGCGAAGCGCGACCCCGCGACCCAGCTTGAAACTTCCGAGTGTGAAAGGGGATTTGGCTCCTCCCAAAAGCTGAGGTCTGGCTTCCCTTTTCGCAAAGGAGCCCCCAAATCCCAATTTCACCGTCGAGCACTCAGCCAAGCTGCGCGCTCTGCTCAGTATGTCGAGGTGCCCAAAAGCATCATGAAGGCAACGTTCACACCTTGTGGATGTGGCGCTCTGCACCCTTTTCGGGGCTGTTTTCATTTGGAAACCCAAGCGAAACCCGAGGAAAACCCGAAACAAATTTTGGGGCCCGCGATTTTCACACATACCCAACTGTACGTGAGAAGTTTGCTTCTACGGGATCTCCTGTCCCTGGAGAGACCTCCCTAAAGAGGCCAAGGAGCAAGAATTCACCTGGCTCACTAGGTGCAGGCCAAAGCGATTTCGATCCGGATGACGATCAGTGGAATCCATCGAAAACCCGCCATTTAGCAACTGAATGAGGTGCCATGTCAATTAGTCCGGAGGAGGGCGTTACGCCGAAGAAGACATTGCCCCTGGCTGTTCAACCCGTCCCCGCATTTGGCACTAAATGCCACATGCGATTCCCAACTTCTGCCACATCCGAGCTCCGCACCCATGTACGGCATCACCTGAGCCGCGTGTTGGCTCCAACCCGGAAAAAGAAGCAATGACAAAGACTCACCGGACCGAAGCTCCTGCCCCACAGAGCTAAGCTGCAGGTCTGAACCCTCAATCGCCCAAACACCACATCAATTCAAAAGCCATCGCCGCAACCAGCATGCGAGAACGACTCTCTGCAGCTGCATGACTTAGCCCCTTGCAAGTCAGAAAATGACCTCATGTGATGTCTAAGCTTGCATTTCCATAGGAGGACTTCCGCACAGAACAACTTCAAGGGATGTACGAATCGGGCAGAAATTCCAAGGTCCTAAGGTACAGAAGAGTCTAAGGCCGCGTCAAGAGATAGCAGTGTCAGCGCAACAAAACAGGCCGGTCCTGGCTGTGCGGCTGTCCGGCGAAGATGGATGCGCTGAGAGTCTGCCGCAATGTCACGTTATGGCGGAGATGGGAACCCTACTCTCAGAAGGTTGGTGGCCTGGAAGGAAGCAAAGGGATTTCAAAATGGGCCATCAAGCGCACAGCTCGGTCCCTGTGCAACTTGCTCTTGTTTCTTCCCAGCGATTCCAGGAATCCCAGTATCAAAATCCACTGGGTTAAACCTGCCGAGGATATCCCACAGCCCTGGTTGGGATACTTGCAATGTTGAAGCAGTCAACAGCTGCCTGACGACGGGGCTTTCTTCGGTAAACATCTCATGGCTGGAAGCCCAAACGCGGGAGGAGCATCCTTTGGTGGCAGTTCCGTGACCAAATGAACAAGTCACCGCTTGGTGAGGTGAACACGGAAATACAGCATTTGGAAGGGTCAAGAAGTCCCAAACATACGGCACATCCCTGTGTGAAAGTGCACGAAAAAAACAGTGCAAATGCGAACAGAGTCGGCCCGTGATGGAAAAAAAACATGTGGGGTCAAAACCTGTCTGGGGGGGAGTGGTAGTCTTTAGACTTGGTTTAGTATTGGCTAGTATTCGTTGGGAGCTAGCCCAGTATTGTTCAGACTTGGCGCAGTATTGGTTTAGTTTCCTGTGCACTGGCTCGGTACTCTTAAACCTATTTAGTGTTGCTGGTTACTGGCCCAAATATGTGTCTGGTTTTCTGACTGTCCTACCCTCAGACACACATCATGTTTCCCTTGGGATTTGGCTGTGTGTGGCCCCAGTCAGGATTGGCTTAGTATGTTTTAGTTGGTCAGTTGGTATTGGTTTAGCATTGGTTACTATTCGTTGAGTATTGCGTTATACCGTTTATAGTTTATACCGTTTTGTACTTGAATTCCCAGACGAGTCAATGCCAATTCCTTTGAAGCAACTGTCTGGTGTCTGAGCCTCACACGAGCGCGAGATTGGCCCGAGACTCCCTCGTCACCATTCTCTCGTGGCGTAAGCTTGTCACACCTAGAGGAATCCTACACTTTGAGAAGCTCCAAACATGTTTCCAGGAGGTGAGTCTAAAAAGAACCCTCGTTTATGTGTGACATTCCAGAGAATAGGGATGAAAAGCCAAGGCACCGATCCACTTGATCATGCTGGCCAGCGTCCTTAGCTGGCAACCGTCCCAAAGCTAGGCTTTGGAGCCAGACCTCGAATATCTCTCGCCTACCAAGTTCGGATCGGGTTCGCGGACTCAAGTGGCTCAAGCCAAAAGTGGATGACTTTGCGATTCAGGTGTCCGCTATCCCCAAAGAGTTAAAACCAGGTGGACTAAGACTTTGGTCAGGGTGCCTCCTGGGTTCCCTGTTGTGGCTTGAGTCCATAGTCCGTCCTCCCACGCACCCTTCAGCCCTAGCCCTGTTTTTGGCTGGCGCGTGGTTGATATATCCTTGGTCAACTTCATCACTGAAGAACTCATTGGACTTCGGTAAGTAACCCCATTTCCTCAATTCGGATTCATAATTGGGAGGGCGCTTGTTTTGAATCCTGACTTGGGCAAGCCGCATCGCCTCCCGACGCAAAGGGAGCCCAAAAAAAATATTGACCTTCCTTTTTGCAACCCATCCGTGTTTCGACCAAAGCCCATTTCACCTTCCCGTGTTTCGACCAAAGCCCTTTTCACCTTCTGGTTCAAGAAACGATCAGTTGCGGGTACAAAACACGCTCCAACCCCCCTTCATCGAAGGATCTGATTCAACACCATCCTGGAGATGGCTCTGGACCACCAGGAGGTCGAGAAGCACGCCTTCGCTCAAATGTCGTTGCCGAGGCGCTTCTGGGTTCTCGATTTGGGTGCTTTTCAGGTTGGCAAACCAAACGCAAAACCGCGATTTTGGGGGATCCCCCCCTCCATTTTTGCAGAAGTCCAGCTGGTTTGGGTTGAATTTGATAGCCTGCCAACAGGAGTAACCAACCGTTTGAAGGGGTTCACCTCCTACTTTTGGGCACATGGGCGAATATTTGATACGTCTGGGTTTGGGACCTGTTTCTCCGACCTAGATTTCCAGTGCGGCATCCCTCAACGAGTTGCCCTGGAAATGTTCACATCACCTCCAAAAGCCATGGGATCCACTGCCTCGCCTGTGACCAGGTCAGCTGCTTGGCCTGGCTGTGGGCAATGGGTGAATTCCGGTGCTTTCTTTCAAAGCACAAAAGCTCATCAGAAAGACATGTCTCAACAAGG